AAGGTTGACAGAAAGAATGATGATGACATTATACCTAGAGTGAGTTCCCTTTCTATCACTTCTGCCTTTTCCTTTATTGAGCTGAGTACTGATGAGTTACAGTTCTAGGACAGTAAAGACTGAATGAGAGCTGACATAATGTAAAAAATAAAACTAATGGCATTGATCTGTGCATGTATAAATGGTTAAATGGGCATATGTTTTGTTGTGAATATTTTCACATAGACACAAAAAAGACTGGAATAGGCCAGGACATAGACTTTTGGAGGATACAAAATCTTGAGCATCCACTTAGTGCATCTTTTTTCATGATGTAACTGGAGAAACTGAGGCCCAAGGATGATGTGACTTGTCTAAGGGAATTAGAAGAAGAGATAGGTCTAACTTTCAAGCTCTTTTTATCTTTGTACCTGAACGCTAATACTTAGTGTAGTTTTCCTCTTAATTCTGAAAATACAGTGCTTAGTTGGGGAAAAGAAAAGCAAGAAACCCTGGAATAAAGTGCATGATATGTCTGGCCCCAAAGATGAAAGAAGGGCTCTGGTGGCTTAGTCCACAGGCAGTTGTAGCTCTGGTGGCCTAGTGGCAAGAAGCTGCACTGCAATCCCAGAGGTGAGCAGTTCGAGTCCACCAGATGCTCTGCTGGAGAAGGAGGGACAATTTCCTCCTGTACCACTCAGATCCGATTTGACAGTACACACACACAGGTAGTTGTACTGCTCACCCAAAGGTAGCATCTCTCCAGGGGTTCAAAGCTACCAATTACTCCACAGGAGAAAGATGGGAAAAAATCTCCCATGTGATTTACAGTCCATGAAACCCACTGGAAGGTCAGCTAGGGGTTGGGCTCAACATGAAAACAGTAGGAGAAGGATGAAGGAGGTGTGAAAATTGGGTAGGATCTCCTAGGGGATTTAAAATAAAAAAAAATGACATGCAAAGCATAAAGACTGTGTAGGGAGGATAGTGACTAACAGCAATGACAGAGCAAAGACATTTGCAGACATATGCAGAGCAGTGCAATGATGTTGCAGATAGACATTTAGGTGTGAATGGACAGGGGTTAAGAGAATAAGCGGAATGTGTCAGTGAACTCTTTTATTTAAAAGACAGAAAGTGGCGCTGACTTTGATGGCTTCCTTTTAACTTTTTAGTGTGACTAAATTTTAGACTCATAGAAAAGATACAAGAATAGTATAAGAGATTCTGTAAACCTTCAGTAAAAACCAAACCAAGGCAAAACCCAGTGTCTTCTTCAGATTGGTTCCAACTCATAGAGGCCCTGTCTATAGACAGGGTTGATTTGCCCTGTAGGATTTACAAAAAGCTTTCTCCTGTGGATTTGAACCTTGATTTTGCAATAAGCAACTGACCACTAAAACCAGTATACCACAGAGGCTCCTATACCCCTTGTTGTTGTCATTATGTGCCATCAAATTGGAATTTACTCAACACTGACCCTTTACTGGGTTTTCAGAGGCTATAAATGGCATAGGAGTTGACTGCCCATTTTCTCCCACTGAGAATCTGGTGGAGTCCAACCACTTGCCTTTGGGTTGGCAGTGTAACTCCGTACCCATTAGGCCACTAGAGCTCTCTAATATCCCTTGTTGTGGTGGTGTTGTCATGCACCATTGACTTGACTCTGACTCACAGGGACATTATGTACAACAGCTCTGAACTCTGCTCTATCTTGAGCCAATTTCATTGTCTCTGACACACCTGACCCCATTACCCCAGTCACTGAGTCAATCCATTTCATCCAGAGTCTTCCTTTCTCACACTGTCCCTCCACCTCATATGTTAATATAATTAACAGAATAGTTGCTGTGTACTTGACTCCAACTCATAGTAACTTTATGCTCCATAGGGTGTTCAATAACTGAATTTTTAGAAGTAGATCAGGCTGTTCCTCCAAGGCACCTCTGGGTAAAGTAGAACCTCCAGCTTTTTAGTCAGCAATTGAGTATACTAACCATTTGCACTACTCAAGGACTCCATTAATATAATTACCTAAATGACATTAGCATTTTACTACATTTGTTTTGTTTTATCTCTCTTTCCCTTCTCATTCTCCTCCGCCATATACATATACATATATATATATATGTACATACCTATATACATGTAATATTTTCTTAACTATCAAGAGTTATTTACAAACTTGGTTCTACTTTATCTCAAAATATATCAATACATTTCTTAAAATACAGGTGTTCTCTTGCATACTCATAGTATGATGATCAAAATTAGGAAGTTTATATTAATACTGCCCAACACATAAATTATATTAATATTTTGCAATTGTCTCAATAATTTCATAATATCATAAGTAGCACTGAGTTATCATGTCTCTTTGTTTGTTAGATGCTCTCGAGTTGTCTCCAACTCATAGTGACACTATGAGCAACAGTTAGAAATCTTTCCCCATCCTGTGCCACCCTCACGATCTCTACTATGCTCGTCTATTGTTGCAGTCAATCCAACTCCTTGATGCTCATCTTCTCTTTTGCTGACCAGACTCTACCTTTTTCTACATGATACTTTTTTCCTAGGATGGGCCCCTTTTGACACCATCCCCAAAGCATATGTTGTTGTTGTTCTGTGCCGTAGAGTCATTTGCGACTCATAATGACCCTATGTACAACGTCCCTAAACTCTGCTCTGTCCTGAGCTAATCGCACCATCTCTGATACACCCGTCCCGATTACCCCAATCACTGAATCATTCCACCTCATAGAGGGTCTTCCCCTTCTGCGCTGTCCCTCCACCCTACCAAGCATGATGTTCCTCTCCAAGGACCTGTCCCTCCTTACAACATGTCCAAAGTATGTCAGACGGAGCCTCAGAATCCTTGTCTCCAAGGAGCTGCCCAGTTTAACCCTTTCCTGGATGAATCTTTTTTCCTAGCAGTCCATGGTACCCTCAATACTCTTCTCCAGCACCACAGCTCAAAGGCATCAATTCTCCGTCTATCCTCCTTAATAATTTACAACTCTCTGATGCATAACAAGTGATAGCAAAGACCATGGCCTGTATCAGACGTACCTTAGTCTCCAAAGAGACACCATTGCTCTTCAGTACTTTGGAGAGGTCCCTAACAGCAGACCTTCCCATGGCAGAAGTTTAACTATCCTTGCCTCTAAGGAGCATGGAAGAGATTTTACTTCTCCAAGACAGATTTGTTTGTTCTTTGGCAGTCCATGGGACAGTCCAAATTCTTCACCACCACCACCATTCTTCTTTCTTTCTTATTCATTGTTCAATTTTCACATGTATTTGAGGAAACTGAAAAGGCATGCCTCTTTAGTTCTTGCAAACTGGAACAGATTCTTTAGGCTTTGTGTTTTATTTTTGAATCCTATAGCTATTCATTTTATAAAAGTGTTTTTCCACTCATGACTGTACTCAAGCCATGCACACATGGCGGGAGACCCAAATGAGATAAGTGTGCTCTTTTCAATGCCGGAGGCACATCATGTTAATCTGTCCCATTATTGATGGTGTAACTTTCAGTGGTTAAGGTGGTGTCTGCTAGACTTCCCCTTTGTCCCTTTGCAAGTACTATTTTATGATGATTTGAGAATATGCAAATATCTTGTTACTTCCTAGTTTAGCATCCTTTGATATTTCCGATTAAAGCCTTTATAATTCTGATGTCAAATATTGATTTTCTGTTTTTATCATCCCCTTTACGTTTATTTCAGTAAGCTGCAAGCATTTATCCTTTTTACTCTTTCCTTTGTTTTTACCAATCCAGATTAATGCAGTCTCATTTTATTCAATGAATTATGCAACTTTATTGCCATTATTTACTTTGATACTGAAATTATCCTAAATGTGATACTAGCTTAATTTTTAAGCATTGGAATGACTGACTTCAAATTAAGTTCTTTTGAAATACTGAATGATACAAGATAACAAAATTACTCTTTCTTTTTGCCACTATTTGTGAAAGCTTTTGATGTCAGATGCTGCTGCATACTTAGTGTATGTTATCTCATTTCACTTTGCCACCTGATAAAGCAGATATTGCAGGGTCATCTTATTTTCCATTAAAAGATGATGCAATTGGAGGTTTTGGGAAAAGAAATGAGTTCAGATTCTTAGACTTTGTAGTGGCAGGACCGGTGAACTCCTGGACTTTGCTCTCAACCATCAAGGAACCCTTCAGATAGATGTGGGGATCCCCTGCCCCCACCCCAGGAACCCTTCAGATAGATGTGGGAACCCTCCACGTCTGTCCCAGGAATTAGGATCCTGGTGTTTAGGCTGCAGTGTTCTTCAAGGTAACTGGGCATTTTTTTCCCCTAAAACCTAAAAAAAATTTTTTTCAACTTTTACATTTTCACAAGTGGGGCATCTGGGAACTGTCTACAAGTCTGTTATCACTCCAGGAACTTCCCTAACCCGCTTTGTGGAAAAGGTCCAACTCTGCTTGAAATTCAGTGAGGAAAGGGTAGAGAAAGAGATCATCTGTGTCACTGTCAGCAGACACAGAGCCAGAAGGACCTGACTTCTGAAGTCACCCAGGGAAGCATCCCCATGGGTCAAGACAAGTAAAAGTGAATTTAGAAATAGAAGAGAAAACGAAAGGAAGAGTGAAGCTGGGATTCTTAAGAAATTCAGGATCTAATCTATTCTTTAGATCTCAGGTGAAGACATGCCTTAAATACTAGCTCCTTTTTACAGCAATACTGTTATCTCCACAATCGTCACACTAAATCAACATTCACTTTTATTAGCAAACTTCGGATTCTATTGGAATGAGCTTGGGTGAAAAAAAGTACACTACTTGCTAATGAAACAAATTTAAATACCTTTCCTGTCTTTGGTGGAGAGAAAAGAACAATTGGGTAACATTCTTACCCCAGTAGGAGGAGCAAACTAAAAATAAAAGATAGCAAGGTACTTCCTGCCAGCCAGTAAATCCAACAGCCAAAGAAGATGCCTCAACCTGGTGCTGGATAGATAGCTCAGTCTGCCCGACCCCCCTCTGCCTGAGAGTGGCCATGTGGTTCTCATAGCCAACAGCTGCCAAGCAGAACCCCTCAGATTAACCCATAGGAGGTGTTGAACCACTTCCCATTAAGATATTTGCAAAGCAAACAAAAATGATAACCCCATTCTGAGTCCTGGGAGCCAGCCAGGAGTGCTGGCTGTTCTTGTTGACACAAAAGGCTCTCTGGGGAGGGTCTGGGCCTGAGCAAGGAAGGCCACTCCTGCTGGTCGTCTTGACTGTGTTGATCTTAAGCCATTAGAATCTTGGTATCAGGCACTGTTTATTGTCTAATTTCCCGGTCACAGCAGTCACTGGAACTCTGTTTCACCAGATCGCTTTCTTCTCCCTCTTCTCCACTCAGGATGAGAAGAAAAATCCTTTCCTCTCCCTGTGATGTCTGCTCATCAAGGAGACAAGGCTGAAAAGTTACTAAAATGCAAATAGATTGTGGTAGGCCTTCTGTTAACAGCTTTTATAACAAATGCTCAAGTACCTTCTTCATTTGAAGTGACTGGTGCAATGCTTAGGGAAATATATTGACTTATTTGTATCCCACAAGCCAGGCAGGAGCCAGCTACCATTGAATTAGCAAAATTAAATTTGGAACAGAAACACATTAATAATTTTTCCTTCTAACCCTAAAAGGAAAAAAAATGAAATAATGTTAATGAGGCTCTGAAAATAAAACAATCTTCTTTCAATGTGTAAGATTACCTATCATTTATGTTTCTTAAAACTGAATAATAAAACAGTCATCATAAAAACTTTGTATTTAAGAGAACTTGTTTTCTCCAATATCTCCAAATTAAACAAGTTTTCTTTGCTTAAGTTTTCCAAAATAGGAAAGATCTTGATGGGGAAAGCAGCAGAGCAGATGTATTAAATCTCTATAATTTCTACACTCATAAAATGGTTAGTGTAAGAAGACAAGAAGGAAGATGTGTAGAAATTTACCAGATTTAATCTTTAAAGATGCTACTAACTTCTAGGCTCTTGAAAAAAAAAAAGAAAAGGCAGATTTTTCATCATCCTTATTAAAAACAAAATGGGATAAAACTAAATCTTTGAATAATTTATCACCTGCATTTCTTATAAATAAACAATTCTTTTATGGAATTCAATAAAGTAGGTTCTAAACAAAAAAAGAAGAAATGAAAGAAGGATTGACAATATTGAGTGATTGTGTAATAGAGAAGAATGCAGGAAAAAGATGTATGTATTATGGGATACAAACTTTGTATACAGGTAAGAAATTTTATAAAGAAGGGGATGTAGGGGGGAAAGGCAATGAGCTAAAAAGTTTGTGATTTCTTTAGAAAAAAGAGAAGCATTATCATACTGAAAACAATTTTTATAAGAAATAAATATCTCAGGAGACATTTAATAAGAATTGTCTGAGGAGAATGGGAATCCCAGAACACAGGATTGTGCTTATGCAAAACCTATACTTGGACCAGGAAGCAGTCGTCAGAGTAGAGCAGGGAAACCCTACATGGTTCAAAATCAGGAAGGGAGTGTGTCACGGATGTGTCCTGTTTCGATACCTTTCCAAACTATATACAAAACAGATCATTCGGGAGGCTGGGTTTTAAGGGGAGGAATGTGGCATCAGGATTGGGGGAACACTCATCAACAACCTATGTTATGCAGATGTCACAACCTTGCTTGCGAAAACTGAAGATGACCTAAAGAACTTGCTGCAGATTGTCAAGGACTGTAGGATGCAATATGGATCAATATGCACTATGGATCAACATCAAGAAGACAATGATTCTCACCACTGGGCCAACTGACAGTAACATGATGGACAGAGAAGAGATTGAGTTTGTTATCAGTTATAGCTTGCTCAGCTCCACAATCAACTTTTTGGCACCAGCAGTCAGGAGATCAAAAGGTGAATTGCATTAGGTAAATCTGCTGTCAGGGACCTTTCCAAAGTACTGAGAATCAATGATGTCAGTCTAGAGATTAAGGTGCGCCTGCTAGAGCTTAAGGTGCATTTGCTCCAGTCACGGTCTTCACAATTACTTGCCATGCATGTTGATCCATATTGCAGACTATAGTCCTTGACCTTCTGCAGCAAGTTCTTTAAGTATGATAGAAGAACTGATGCCTTTGAGTTGTGGTGCTGGAGAAGAGCCTTGGACATACCATGGACTGCCAAAAAACAAATAGGTCTGTCTTGCAGAGGGTGAAACCAAGTTTCTCCTTGGAGGCTAGGATTTTGAAGCTCTGTCTCACATACTTTGGGAATGTGGTCAAGAGGGACTGGTCCTTGGAGAAAGACATCATGCTCAGAAGGGTGGAGGGACAAGACCCCGAATGTGATGGACTGATCCGATAACTAGGGCGGTAGGTGTATCAGAGTCAGTGAGACTGGCTCAGAACAGGGAAGACTTCAGAGCTATTGTACATAGGGTTGCCATGAGTCACAGGTGAGTTGACGGCACATAACAACAACAAATGTCTCAGTCGCAAAAGGACAAATACTGCCTAATACCACTTTATGAAGTAGGGCTGACAAGGGGATGGGATGGGAGGAGAATAGGAAAAGAGTGGATAGATAATAAACACTATATTGGAACAGATTAGGGAGAGAACTGTTTAAAATAAATATATGATTAGGCATTATATGTAAGACAATGGTCCAGAATAAAAGGTACATTGCAAAGAAGCCTGAAGTAGGGGTAGGGAAGATGGGGAAGGGGGAAATTATGCAACAGTGAATGAGTATTTTTTTAAAAAGAAAGTGAACTGAGGGAAGGAGAAAGGGGGAAGGAGGAAAATGTGCAACAATGAATGAATGAAAAATATAACTTTTCGGTAAACTTTTATTAAAATCACAAAATAAAAAATTAAAAAATGAATAAAAGTCTTCATTTGATAAGTGAAAGTACAAAATTCTTATTCTTTCTCTCTCTCTCTCTCCTCTCTCTCTTTTCTTTTAGAAACTTGAAGGTGTTATTTGGCTTTAAATGGCATTAATCCAAATAAACTGTGACTGGATCCAAGCTCATTGTAAATGTTGAAGTTTTCCATAAAGTGAATCCAACCTTGCTGGCCAATTTTGTAGCACATGTGTTAGATTAAAGCTAGATTAATACCATTACAAAAGTTTAAATCTATGGTTGATTACATTAAAGACCTTCTGTGTTGTTATATTTGAACTGTGTCCCCTCTAATGATATGAGTGATATAAAGATGTCTGGACACCTGATACCTGTGGATGTGACCCTTTTTTGGAAATAAAGTCTTTGAAGATTTTAACATAAATTCATACTGGAGGAGGGTGCGTGTTAAATCTGTGTTTGTGGTATGCTTATAAAATAGGGAGGAGATAAAGAGAGAGAAAGGCCCTGAGAAGAAGCAGCAGAGATGGAGAGGTGAACTTTCAACCTGAAGAGCTGTAAGACAGTGAAAGGGCTGCCAGTCTTTGGAAAAACCAAGGCCCTGATGACAGCCTGAGTTCAGACTGCTAGCCTGAAGAATTATAAGATAATACATTTCTGTTGATACCCACTTTGTGGTCCTTTGTAATGATAGTCTTGGGAGACTAATACATGGTGACTTCAGATACATATCAAACTCATTCATTGATGTAGAATGGGAATCACCCATAAATGATCATCTAGCAAACTTTCAGAGACATTAAATCACATGGGAGGAGACTGCCCATTTTTCTTATGTGGAGTAACTAGTGGATTCAAACTGCCTGCCTTTGGGTTGGCAGTAAAATTCTTGACTCACTAGGTCACCAGAGATCTCTCTCTCTCTCTCTCTCCATATATATAGATATCGATACACTTGCTAAAAGTGAGAAGGATTTGAAGCACATATTCCAGAAGATCAAAGAATGCAGCCTTCAGTATGGATTGCATCTCAATATCAAGAAAACAAAGATTTTTACCACTGGATCAACAGGCAGTGTCATGATGGATGGAGAGGCGATTGAAACTGTCAACAGCTTCATCTTGCTTGGATTCACAATTAACATCCTTGGTATGAGCAGTCAGGAAATAAGGAGACACACTGCACTGGGAAAATCTGCAGTTAGGGACCTTTTTATTGAGGACTAAGGTGCGTCTGATTCAGGCCATGGTCTTTCCGATTACTAGCTATGAATCTGATACCTGAACAGTGAATAAGGATGACAGGAAAAGAATTGATGCTGTTGAACTGTGGTGTTAGAGAAGAGAACTGAACATGTCATGGACAGCCAAAAACGTGAATAGATATATCTTGAAGAGGGTGCAGTCTGAGTGCTCTTTGGAGGCAAGAATGATGAGGCTTCAACTTACATACTTTGCACATATTGCTATGAGGTGCTATTCCTTGGAGAGGGACATTATTTTGGGAAGGGTGAAGGGTTGGCAAAGGAGAAGAAAACCCTCAACTAAGTGCATTGACAGGGTGACAGCTGTAATGGGCTCATGTGTGTCAGAAAGTGTGAGGAAGACAAAGGACAGGATTAGTTTCAGATCTTTTGTTCATAGGGTCACTATGAGTCGTACTCGACTCAATGGCACCCAACAACAACAATATAACATACACACACACACACACACACACACACACACACACACAGATGTATATACAAAAATAGACACTATACTAGAAATTTGCCCCCCACCCATTATCTAAATAATTTCTAGAAGACTCTCCTTCTCTCGTGGAGGTATTAAGCACAAAACCTTGCCTTGAAGTATGAGGCTCATGTCGGGGGTGGGGGAGAATATAAGTAAAACATCATTGTAAGATCATTTGTTTCAATTCATTGTGGCTGATTCTTAGCAACTGGTCCTTACATTAGTGTATTAGCCATAGTCATTTACCAAAAGTTCCCAAAGATACTTAGGCATCTTCCCAAATTTGGGATTTATTTTTTAGTTGAGAAGGTAGATCCATTATAGCAAAATGACTGCATTAACAGAATCTCCCTTTACAAACCTAGCATTGTTGACTTGTTTTGAAAACCAGCTCTTTAACAGAAGAATAAAGAGTGTACTAAATCA